GACAGATAAACCCCTCAGGACCAATATTGAGAGTAGCCATATCAGGAGGGGAAGGGGAAGGTGGGGGTAGAAAGGGAACCAATCACAATGATCTACCTATAACCCCCTTCCTGGTGAATGGACAATAGAAAAGTCATTGAAGGGAGGCATTGGTCAGTGTAAGACATGAATTAATAATTATATATTATCAAGGATTCATGATGGAGGGAGGGAGGGGGGAAATGAGCTGATACTAAGGGCTAAAGTAGAAGGAAAATGTTTTGAAAATGATGATGGCAACAACTGTACAAATGTGCTTGGCACATGGATGGATGTATGGATTGTGATAAGAGTTGTACAAGCCCCCAATAAAATAATTTCAATAAGTAAATAAAGAGTAGCACTGCCTGTGTGATTTTCTGAGGCTGTGAATCATGGAGAGCAGAAAAGCCTCATTTTTCTCCCTTGGGTGGCTTGTGGATTTGAACTGCTGACCTTGAGATTAGCAGCTCCCAATACATAACCCACTGTGCCACTAGGGCTCTTTCAAGAGATTATAGTATCTACACATCCATCTACAAATCCTGATACATCCACCAAATGATACCTCAACCAAATGATCTCTTCTAATAGATCAGCTTGACTCTCTGGTTACCTTTTTAATTCTCTCCACGTAAACGTGTATTAGCACCTCAACTTTAGTTTGATGTCTAAGAGTGAGCATCAAAAATACACTGAAGAAAGGAAAAAGTAAAACTAGGATGGAAATCAATAATCTAGTAAAGAAGAAAATCAAGAACACCTGTAGTTTGTTGAATGATGGTACCCAAAGATGTCAACAGTGTGCATGTCCTAATCCCCAGACCCAGGAACTGTATGAATTTGGACTGCACAGGGTCTAACTATGTTTTCTTTCCTTCTGATTATGTGTGTAGAGAAAGGGAATTAATGTACTCTGGCTTTATAAATTAATTGTTCTTTAATGCTTAAATTGTCCTGGCAATTAAAAGTATACCTACTTTTGTGTTTATAATGAATTTTATTAGCTAATATGTAAGTTCACATCCTGGGAGAAGCAGTCATAATTATTGTGGTTTTATGATAATTAAAAAGAGATTTTTTTAATGTAAAAATGTCTCTTTTTTAAAATATTTATAGGTTTCTGAAGGGTTATCATTTTTGCATAGCAGTGTGAAAATGGTTCATGGAAATGTTACTCCTGAAAATATAATCTTGAATAAAAGTGGAGCCTGGAAAATAATGGGCTTTGATTTCTGCGTATCATCAACTAATCCCTCGGAACAAGAGGTAATGATGGTCTCATTTTTTTTAAGCCCTAGGAATTTGTTATTGCATCTGAAATGGACTAGAGAATTTGTGAATCTGATGTGTAGAAATCAGTTTGATGGTAAAATGGTATGTTTAAAAGTACTGCTTTGTAGAAAATGTCTATTATACATTGAACCTTAACTTTCACTGAGTGTTTTTAGTGTTTGAATTCCATAACAAATCTCTCAAGAGAAAGATGCCACAGTTAAATAAAGTTGAGAACTATTGAGTTAATTTGTTTGCTTGTTTTTTTTTGTTAGAACTTAAATACTCTCAGCACACATCGAATCACCACCAGTGTTTCTCCAATGTATTGGACCACTTCTTTAAGGAGTGTAATAATAGCAACTGTGGCAATAACTAAAAATTTATTGAAGTACTTTTCTAAACATTTTTAATATATTAATTCTTACAACAATTCAGTGAGATTAGGAATAATATAGATAACATAGGCTCAGAGGAAATAACCTGCTTAGGAAGGTGGTAAATGGTAGCACTAGGATTGGAACCTAGTCTTTCTGGTTCCAGCATATCTCTTTGTGGTGATTATGACACCTGCCTCTTCAGGCTTTACGGTATGTAGTTAGTAAGCACCACAATATGATCTACAGGTAATTTATGAAGTGCTTCACAAAGTTCGTGGAAAAGTTCCCTTGTCTTTTATTTTATTTTTCATGAACTTTTGAAGCCCTCCTTGGTATAATTTCCACAGCCACTTTTAAGAGAAGCAGCAAGAATTCGTTTGTGCTCTGTCTGTCTCTCTTTTGCACAGTTATTTAATTTAAATAGCTTTTGGAAACAAGTAACTAAATCGTGTGGTTAGTGGAAGAAAAAAAGGTTTCAGAGAATAAGCTATTTTATATACTCGAGTATAAGCCGACCCGAACATCAGCCAAGGCACGTAATTATACCACAAAAACTGCAATAAAAATGTGCTGATGGTATATATGGTAACCCATATAACACGAAGCATATGTATTATAAAACTTAAACCAGTTCTTCCCATCTCTACAGTGGAGATTTGTCTGCTGAAGGAAAGCCCAGCCCTAAAGTTTTACGAGCTCATATTCTTATCTCTCAATTTGATGTTTGCACTTTTCAGATTTGTAGTTTGGGGAATTTTAGGATTTAAGGTGGTGTTGCCATTTTTACTTATGTGAACAAGGTATGATTTTGCGGACAGGTGCTTGTTTTCAATTGAAATACTTTATATAACTCCCTTTTTTTCTTATAGCCCAAGTTTCCTTGCAAAGAGTGGGACCCAAATTTGCCATCTTTATGTCTTCCAAATCCTGAGTATCTGGCTCCTGAATACATACTTTCTGTAAGCTGTGAAACAGCCAGTGACATGTACTCTTTAGGAACTCTTATGTATGCTGTTTTTAATAGAGGAAAACCCATGTTTGAAGTCAACAAGCAAGATATTTACAAGAGCTTCAGTAGGCAACTGGATCAGGTATTTGCTTATAAATGTGTGATTGCCTTAAGTATTTGATGGGATGTTTCTTAGATTTCTTTTCAAGAGTTTATTCAGAAATTTCTCTTAAACTGAGGTGAGTGTTTCCTAGTTGATTTTTACATATATTCAGTTTAATAGAAGCAATTGTATAAACAACTGAGGAGAACTAGTTGAAAGTTAAAATTTGTGGCAGTTCTTGGTCATGTACTACTACAATGAGTTTTGAATTCTCTTTAGCATTTTATTTGCATGTGATATTAATGATATTGTCTAGTAATTAACTATTCTTTTGTTCTCCGTTCTTTGGAATGAGCATAAATATGGCTGTCTTCCACCTTATGTAAATTTTTGGTCAAAGATGCGTGAGGGCATCCAGCGCCACACCCATTTGTTGAATCATCTCATTAATATTCCATTAACCTAGAGCCTTCTACTTCACCACCACCTTTCGTGCTTATACTTCTTCTTTCAGGACTATTGGTTTTTGATCATATGCTGCCTTCTGAAATAGTTGAATGTTGACCAGTAGTTTTGGGTACAGTGACTGGTTTTCCATTCTCTTTTGGTGCTTCTGCATCTTTCAATCTATTCCCCATAGAATCGAACAATATTGTCCATTACTTCCGTTTGTCCTCCTTGCCTACCTCTTCCTGCCTTCTGAACTTTATCACTGAGCAACCCTGCCTTGCTTATCTTGTTTAGTGGATTGTTCTAAGGAGTGCATACTTCCCTGGGGGTACTGCTCACTTTATGGGCCTGTCTAAAGGGTCACTGGCGGGCTGGGGGTAAATGTTGGATTGTTCTTCCAAGACTAGCAGTTCAAACCCACCTGCTGCTCCTCAGGAGCAAGATAAGGTATTTTTCCCTGTAAAGCTTTACAGCCTTGGAAACCCCATACAGGGTCGCTATCAGTCAAAATCAACTTAATTGCAATGAGGTTTTTAAGTATGGTTTTGTAGAAAGTTACCGTAAGTCACAGGGGAGTAAGGTTCGTTCCAGCCTTGAAGAACCTCTACCCAGTTCTGCTAGACCAGTAAACTTGGACTTCTGTTTTCTTCCACGTTTCCTCCTATCATTCCAGTTGTATCATTATGCTTGTATTCTCATCGCTTACTTTAATGATAACTGTGTGTGGTCTCAGGATCATTGGAGACTGAGATTCATGTTGTCTATTAGTCCTTGGAACTAATTATTTCAATGCATGCTTGATTTTCTTCACTTTTCTTTGCTCTGAACCAGGAGAGACCAGTCGTTGTACCTTAGGTTGCCATTCACAAGCTCCATTTGCTACTCACCAAAGTAGGATGTAGAACATTGTCTTCCTGTGGACTGTTGCTCCTTCGTGGGGCCCGTGCTATCTCCCTTGAGATAGCCCTGGGCCAACAGCTCATTTCCTCAAGGTGTTTGTTTGCTTATGGCTAGGAACTTTTCATAACTTTGCCTGTATACACTCTACTGTATTCATGGGTCTCTTTGTTGTGTCGACAAATGCATATGTAGAAATAGCCTCTGTCAAACCTATATGAGCTCTTCCCCATCACCCAAAATTAAAAATAAATTTTTTTAAGGAAAAAAAACTCCACTGATGAGGGGGATAGTGCATTTGGAGCTCATTCCACCAGGTGAGACTGTTAATTACCCTGTCTAGTTAGACGTTATGAAAAGATTGCATAACAGCGTATGACAAAAATGGCCAGATTTGTGACAGACGGGACTGGTTTTGCCACCACAACAATGCACTTGTTCAAGCAGCCATCTCAGTGTGCCAGTTCCAGGCAAAAAAACTTACCTCTCTTGCCACATGCACTTTATTCTCCTAACCTTGCTCTGTGTGACTTTTGTTTCCACGAATGGAGAGGGACATGAAAGGACAGCAATTTGGTAGCATTATTCTCATTATTGGTCCTGAGGGGTATATCTATCCTGAATTCCCTGTGTTTCTAGCTCTTATCTGTACCAGTGTACATCCTCTGGTCTAGCCAGATTTTTAAGGTGGAATTGGGATTATGATAGTGACGTGGGGGTGGGAGGGGTGGAAGCATTAAAGAACTAGAGGAAAGTTGTATGTTTC